ATATTTTTTTTTTAACTGTAAAATGGCTTCCATAATGTAGATCTCACAGACCGCAGTCTAGAATCTTCTCCTTGGAGCCCAAGCCTCCACATGCCTGACTCTGCAGCACTAAGCTCAGCAGAGGGAGATATGAGTTGTTAAGTAACCATCTGGGACCTTCACCCTGCATGCCTTTCCTTATCCCTCTGAGCTGGGCCCCCTACAGGCCACCCAGAGCTTCCTACCTCTTTCTTACCTGGGCTGTTTTGGTCAGCATGAGCTGAACCTCATCCCCTTCCTCCTCATATTCCAGGCCCTCCCCTCCATGCACCTTTTTCACACACCTTTCCTTCCCACCTTCTTACCTTTCCAGCTCACCTTCCTTTACTTTGCAAGCCAGTTTTCTGCCCTCCTCTCTCCCCGCCCCCATCTACCACAACTCCTGTCCCACTTTAGTGCTCCCCCATTGTCTGAGTTTTCCATCTGCCAACTCATTGCTTGCTTTTTCACTATAGAAACAGTTCCCAAGACAGACACACAATGTTTACCATGACAGGAACCCCCTGTAGTCTGTCCTGCAATGCAGGCCCCCCACTTGGGCTCTAGAACTCCTAGTGTTGGGGAGCACACCAGAGAAGGGGTGGGGCTCAGAGTCCTGTGGAGGATGGGAGCCCTGAGGGGGCCCAGCCTCCCCGAAAGTCCAGCCACACTGACCTTGCCCTCATCATCTTCAACCAAGATCTTGCCAGGCTTCATTTCTTTGATGATGCCCCCAATGGCAACACTGGTTTTGTTGGCAGAGTAGGGGTTCAGCCACACATGGTCACCCTACAGGGCAAAGAGAAGACAGTAGTCAGACCCCTGTTCCACCTTTCCCTTTCTGCTCCAGACTTACTTCTCCTGGGGGCTGTTCCTTTGAACTAAGAGCTCTCAAGGAAGCTGGGAGCTTTCTCCCTGCACCCTCCTCCTCTTCCTCCTCCCACTACTCTTCCTCTCCTTCCTTTTCCCCTCCTCCTCCTTCTCTTTCTTTTCCCCCCTTCCCCTCCCCTCCCCCTCCTCGCCTCCCTCTTCTTCCTCCTTCCCCCTTCTTCCTCTTCCTCCTCCCCCTACTCTTCCTCTCCTTCCTTTTCCCCTCCTCCTCCTTCTCTTTCTTTTCCCCCCTTCCCCTCCCCTCCCCCTCCTCGCCTCCCTCTTCTTCCTCCTTCCCCCTTCTTCCTCTTCCTCCTCCCCCTCCTCCTCCACTACCTTTCATTCTTCTTCTTTTTCCCTTCCTCCCCACCCCTCTTGGTCACTCTTGCCAGGATAGTACTGGGAAATGGCAGAGGGAGTATCCTTGGCCTAGTTTGGTTCTAAGAAACAGACAAGCCATATTTGCAGGAAGCAATCTCTCTGTGAGGTGGGAAAAGAGTCTATGCCGTATGAATAACCCTATCATACCCCAAACCATTGGCTGAGCAAAAGTGAAGATAAAAATCTCACTAGGTTTCTGCTATCCTGCAACATGGCGTTGACCCACATAACATGCCTTCTGATCCATAAAAGCTCATCCCATTCAAAGAGGAGCAATCCAAAAGGGACCATCACAGATCTACACACAAAGATACTGAAATTCAAAAGGAGAAATGGAGCAGGCAAATAATCCCAGGAAAAACAAACAAACAGAACTGCCACAGAGCAGTGGTAACTTGTGACAAAGTATTTCATTAAGATTTCTAAAAACTTACTGAAGTGCAGATCAGAGTCAAAAAAGGCTCAGAAATTAGATGGTAAGACAACTGAAAGAATAAGCCACAAAATGACAGAACTCAAGAAAGAAATGGAGGAAAAGAAATAAACATGGGTCAGAAATAAAAGCAAAATTGGAAACAACAGGGGAATAGAATAATGCTGCTAAACTCATGGTAAACATCATAGAAGACAATGTAAAACAATAGTAATATAAACAGAGCCACTTTAAAATGAAGCCGGAGCTGCCATCTCAGAGGGACTGCCTTGGACATCTTTCTCCTAAACCTTTGGAATCTTAAAAACAGAACAAAATAATCTTTGAACTGGACCTAAAGCAACTTTGTGTCTCAAAAAACTGTTTGCAAAGACAACAAGAAAATTATTATGACTACCAAGCTGAAAATTAAAAACATTTTTTAGAATTATCATCACTATTTAGCTTATCTGAAACAACAGAAATGTCTTCCTGTTAATGTATTTGTTCCCCTTCCCCTTCTCATAAATACTTCTTGCCTTGGTCTCCTAATGGGAACACTACTTGGGCTTCTGCCTGAAATCAGTACTTCTCAAAAAATGCTTGTTGTCTCTCGCTTTGGCCTTTTATTTTTAGGTTAACAATAGGAAGGGAAAAGGTGAGCAAAATGACATTGAAATTAAAAGAAATTAGGATTAGGGAGAAAAGGATAGATATGGAAGACAAATAATTGGAGAAGAAAATTAGAAAAAAAATAGAAAGATTATTTAAAGATATAATTTATGGCAACTTTTCAGAAATGAAGGAAGCCTTGAATCTACAGATTAAAAACACAACAGATATCAGGAACTAATTACAAAGAAAAATCAACTCTAGGACATATACTAATAAAGGTTATTGGACTTCAAAAAAAAAGAAATAATTTTTTGGGGGGTAGGCAAACAAAGATATCAGTTCATTTATAAGGAGAACATTCAGGACAAATTCAAATCTTGTATGAGGGCCAAACAACTGCTACGAAGTTCTCAAGAAAAGAGCAATCCACCCATTAGAATGACCACTGTCAAAAGGACATAAAACAACAAGTGCTGGTGAGGACATGGAGAAACTGGAAACTTCTGAGCTGTTGGTGGAAATGTAAAATGGTGCAGCCACGAAAACACACTATGGACGTTCCTTAAGTAATTAAAAATAGAATTACCATATGATACGGCAGTCCCCCTTCTGGGTATATATCCAAAGGAATTCAAAGCAGGATCTCAAAAAGATATTTGTATACTAATATTCATTGCAGAATTATTTGCAACAGCCAAGAAGTGAGAGTAACCCAAATAGCTATTGACAGATGAACAGATAAACTAAATGTAGTATACATTTAGTATACTACATGTATACATGTAATGGAATATCATTCGACCTTAAAAAAGAAAGAAATCCTGTCACATGCTACAGTGTGGATGTATCTCAAGGACGTTATGCTAAGCAAGTCACAAAAGGACAAATACTGTTTGATTCCACTCATATGAAGCATCTAAAGTAGTTAAAATTATAGAAACAGAAAGTAGATAGGACTGAAGGAGGAGGGGGGACAATAGTGTTCAATGGTTATAGGTTCAGTTTCACAAGATGAAGTTCTCAGATCTGTTGTACAATAATGTGAATATACATAACACTACTGAACTATATGCCTAAAAATGGTTAAGATGGCAAATTTGATATTATGTGTTTTTTACCACAATGAAAAAAGAGAAAAGAAATCCAATAATTTTTTTACCCAAATTATCATTCCGGTATAAAGCTAACAAACATTTGTGAAGATTCAGTATTATTCCCAAAGGCTTGTGGAAAAAACAAGTAGGGGACAAACTTCAATCAACAGTATAAAGTGTAAAAAATAGATCCTTGGGACAAAGAAAGAGCATAAAAGCTTTCAAAAAGAAAAAATAAGTTTTATACGAAGCTCAAGGATTAGAATGGTGTCAGATTTCTCAACAGCAGTGCTGGAGGCCAGAAGACAAAGTGGAATAAATGTCTTCAAAATTCTCAGGGAAAATTATATCTAGAATGGAATCTTATGCCCAATTAACCTCAAATGCAAATGGATGTGTTTTCAGACATGCAAATTGTTACAAACATTTGCTTCCTATGAACCCTTTCCTCAGGAAGCAATTACAGGATGTGCTAGATAAAAGCAAAAGAGAGAAATACCTGGAGTCCAGAATAGGGATTCAGTGTGAAGGAGAGGCAAAAAGAATAGAATGTTCAAGATGGCTGTGAAGGGAATTCCAAGATCACAAGTGTGCCTCAGAAATATAAGATACAAGTCTAGTTATCACAGGTCAGCAACTCTGGGAGGGATTTTTTCCTGAGGATGAAATTGACTAAACTCTCAATGAATCAGAACATTTTGAAAGGAGATAGACATATCTGGGAGAAAGTTGGGGTGAAAATCATGATAAATACATAGAAAACTAAGCAGATGGGGGAAAGAATAATTACAAAGTCTAGCGAAGGAAAACACAGCACTTAGAGTATAGAGCATGGTTCAACAAGAGTAGCATTTACTTAGATAAAATAAGTAAATTCTATACAGATCAGATCAAAGCTAGGATTTAGCAATTTCAGAAGGATGGCGAGACAGATAGTACATGTATGTGTGCAGGGGTTAGGGGTTATGGGGGAGGAGCTAAGGCCTTTCTTACACAGTGGGAAGTCAATAATAGATCATGCCTGAAACCAAAAACTCAAGTTGCAGTGTAGCATGTTCTTTAGAGACATAGAGGAAAAGATCAAAGAATCAACGGGAAGGATTAACTGTGACTTTTGGGGAAGAGGAAGTGGGAGACTGATTCTTTAAACTGGGTTCCTATACAACTTTATGAAGATAAAAGCAAAATTCAAAAGAGCAATACAAAGGAATTCAAAGGAACAATTGCTAGGATACAGAAGACCAGCATGAGCAACATACTCTGCTCAGTGAACTAAATTACATCAGAACCTCTGAGACTAGGAAGAACTTTCTTACAACAGGATGAAATTCCGGTGTGAATAATTGCAGTATGCAGCTGAAACAGTTGGCAAATCACCAAAGCAAGAAGATTAAAAGTCAAAGACACGATGGGCATCTCACAGCAAAATTGATATTAACTAGAGATGAAGAAGAGAAAGAGACCAATTCCAATATAGACTGATGATGTATCAGCCCGACATGAGCTGGAAGAATAAATAAAAGAGTCAGAACATGAATTTTGTTCACTCCATTTGACCAAAGCTCTAATGAGAAATAATGAGAAGCCAGCCAGCAAAAAAATAGAGCATCTTCATGAACACTATTGGTAGAAAAAGATGACTGGGCAGAAGCAGCTGAATGAAGAAAAGAATGAAGGAGAAAAGTAAAAGCAGAGGCTATCAGCTACAAAGGAAGTAAAGTCTATATTGAGATTCAAGAAATAGAGACTGATTTACAGAAACCATAGAGATCTACTGAGCCTTCACTGCTCTTCGTGATAAGAAATAGCTGACAACCAGCTGCTACCCATGCTACAGAAAGAGCTCTTGCAGAAGGGAAGGTGGTAGTCCAACAGCTTGAGACAGAAATTACTACAAGGAAACCCAAAGATCCGAAGTGAACAGTCCACTTCCGGGAGACCTGATCCTCTGATGCCTTCACGCCACCATCTCCCAAGATGAACAGGCTTTTTTGGCCCACTTGCTAAAAGTGGTACTGTGCCCCAATACCATGTGCCCACCCTCCATGTCTTTTCCTTCATACAGAAGAGATGGGCCTAGCGATAGTTCTGTGCTGGCAGACAGATTGTGGAGGAACATCCTCTGGGCTAAGCCCTAGCACAGGTCCATCAGCAGATCCACAGAAGCCTGGCCCTGCCACAGGGACAGATAGCATGTTTACCTCTGGTGCCGAGGGCCCCTATTTTCCCAGGAACGCTTTCCCCCAGTGCCTGGTCATTGGATCACCTTCCCATTTGTTAAGTCATGGGTTAATTGAGAATAAGGAATGAGTGATTTACCATCAAGCTTAACAAATGCTCATGGCTTCATGAACCGGGGACTGTGCCAATTTAATGGAGAGGCACTTTGAATTTCAAAATATTTCCATGCAGTCTTGCCCATTGAAGGGTCCCCAGTCCCTCCGTACTTGGGTATGAAAAAATTCAGAGTCCTCATTTGGAAAGAAAAAGAGACTGAAAACCAGACAGCCCCACATTTATTTGACAGATGGTAAAACTGAAGTCCAGAGAATGGAGAGGTCTGGATAAGGTTACACAGCAAGTGGATGCAGAGCTTTCCCATATTTCTGAAGTGTGAAAATGAAATTTCTCCAATACAATCCTAGTTTAATTATATTAGAAAAGTTTACCAGCCTGGTGGGGTTGGGAGGAGGTCCACTGCTAATTGCTTTTTTAAAAAATAAAGACTCTTTTCATGAGGTAGTTATTCATCATGTGTGAATTTTCTTAATAAGAGATTAGAGCAAAATTTAAAACCTGTTATATACTGAATTGTCATCCCAAAATTGATATGCTGAAATCTTAACCCCTAATGTAATTGTATTTGGACATAGGGCCTTTAAGGAGGTAATTAAAATTAAATGAGGTCAAAAGGGTGGGGCCCTAATTCAGTAGGACTGGTGGCTTTAGAAGAGGAATTGCACAGAAGGAAGGCCATGTGAGGACATAATGAGAAGGCAGCTGTCTGTAAGCCAGGACAGAGGTCTCACCACACACCAGGCCCCCTGATCTTGGAGCTCCAGTTTCTAGAACTGTAAGAAATGATTTTCTGTTGTTAAGCTATCCAATCTGTGGTATTTTGTCACAGCGGTCTGAGCAGATAAATAGAAAGCTTCTATAGACCTGGGTTCTAACCCTACTCCGCATTCCATGAACTACATGGCCTTGGGCAAGTCACTTTAACCTCTCTGAGCTTCAGTTTCCTCATCTATTGAAAGGGGCAACTTCACAGGGCTGTCGTAAAGATGGCATGTAACATGGGTAAGGGGCCCAAATAGTGCCCAGTGCAGAGTAGACACAGATAGAGGATATACTAGTTATAATCTCAGCATGGTTCTGCCCTCTATTCGGCAATCATTTGGGCCTTCTGCAGGAGTCACTAATGAATAAGACCATTACCCTCCTCTCAAGGAACTTATAATCTTAGAAGACAGAGCAGGACACAATTACAGTTGAGAGTGAGTGATATGCTCCAACTCTGCCTGAAGTTAGTCATATTCCCGGTGGGAACCTTGGAGCCAATGCATTTCTGTGTGAAATAAGCCTAGCTTTGCCTTGAAACCTCCTCCTGCCCCAAAGTGATGCCAAATTCTAATGTTTGTGATTGAGTTACCAAAAGCCCTTGCAACCCAAATCTGTAGACCGTGTGTGTTCTCTCTCTAACCTGAAACAACCTCATCTGTATTCTATAATTGAGAAAAACCAACCCTGGCTGCCCATTCTGTGAGTTAGACACTTTGAGGGTTCAGTCACAGGAGCCCTGAGGCGTATGCTAGGGGATGCTGCCCCCTCACAGCAATGTGGATCCAGCAGCCAGGAGACGATGACCATTTTGTGGCTTTCCATTGGGGAGAAGAATTTTTGGAGAACTTTTTCAGCAAAGAGGACATTGCAGCAATATCTGGCTTCCCTGGATTTTGGCTAAAATTCTGGAGGGCAGGGATGGACACCTGGACTGTTTGGGGGGCTCTCCTCTGGACCCCCTCAGCCCCTGAGCTTCTAGGTCATGCACTCACCACCCAGGTTGCCTGGAGGCCTATCCCACCTCCCCTACTCCAGAGCAGGGCAGTGTCTTGGTGTTTATCAACTCAATAGTAAATGCAAAGCTCCTCTGCTCCCTTCCCACATGGAGCTGTCTCCTGACCACTGAGACATAGCAGGCACACAAAAAATGTTGGTTGAGCTGAGGGAAGACGATGCAGAACCCAAAGTGGTGATTTGCCCATCGTTTATTCCCACTCTTTCTGGGTGAGCTCCCTGCAATTGACGCAATGAGACAACAAATGAGAAATGCCTTTGTCAAGACATTTTAAGTCTGAATATAAGTGAGGAATTACTGAGCATATGTGGCCCCTGCTGAGGCCCAGAGGCTAGCCAAACTCATTTTCTTTAGATAATGTAATCTGTCTTGTTCCTCAAACTCCAATCATCTCTGGTTTTTCCTTGTAGGGTCTCATTGCCTGTCTTCTTTCCTTGGGAGTGATTTGACTCAGCCTTTGGTAACTGCCACAAACCACTCCTAGATATAATAGATGCAGTTCTCACCAGCTTGAAGACCGACATCCTGAGACAGCAGCTCCTCGCAGCCTGTGAGCAGAGAGAAAGCAGAATGTCAGTCATCATGCCCTGACTCAGAGGCCCTAGATAGTGAGGTATGTTCATCAGCATGTCCTAGAGTCCCTGACCAGGATCCTGGCTCAAGAAATGACTCTTGAATAAATTAATAACCCTGTCTCATCCAAGTATACAAAGATGCTTTTAATGTAGGGAGGAGGCAAAAGAACATTTTAAATGTTAAATTAAGCTACATTCAGAGACTGCAAGATGCTGATCAGCCCCCTACAGCCAGACCAGGAGGAAACCTGTAGAACAAAGGAAGATTTCTGCTGAAATCATTAACAAACCATTTGCACATACCATGAAGGCAAAACAGAAAAACAGTCTTTAAATCCCACCCTACACAAAATATAATCATTCATTTCCTATGGCTAAAACCATATGAACCTATGGATCAAAGGCTGGGAATTGCCAGCAGGCCTTTTCACGCTACCTATTCTTACCTTTCCACACTACATATTCTATCCTTTCTCACTGTTCTGCACATACCATCAAAGGAAAATGGGTAAACAAAGTCTTTAAACTGTAATTCATAGAAACTAAGAATGATATACAAACTGAATTTTCCGAACACTTGGAGCTTTTTTCTTGTCTTGGCTTTTTTCTTGTCTTTGCTTCTTCTGTCTATGGAAAGTTGGCCCTTCTCTCATAAACTTTATTTTTGACTCTGACCCCTGCATGCATTCGAATTCTTTCTTGCGCTCAGCCAAGAACACTCTTTTTCAGTGCAAGGCTTGAGCTCTGCCCCCACTCAGGGAAATTTGCCCTGTTCTGCATCACTTTCTCAGTTTCCTTCATTCTATCTCATCTTTATTGAATGTTTATTTTGCAGTTGGCACTGGGCTCAACATAGGGAATGGGGGTGTAGGCGGAAACTGAATGTGACAGTCTTTTTGCTACTCTGTTCTGCTGGATGAAGAATTTTCTTATTCCAATTTTTATTTAGTGCACAAGTATTTATCTGTTTAATGACAATCTAAAACTCATAGCATTTGTCGAGCACCTTCAAGGCAATAATCAGACTGTAGATTCCTTTTTAAGGTCTGATATTACATTTTTCTCCCTATCCCCAAAGGAGCATGGTATCTCTTTTCTGGGTCCTGTCCACTGTCTCTTGGGGCAGATGGAAAGAAGGAACCTATGGCAGAGCCTGAGAATCTAGGAAAGCTGTTCTGGGGGTGCTGCAGCCTTTCCTCCCACTCTCAGCGATGACCCCGTGAGGGTGTGTCCATAGAGGCCAGAGATGGGCATGATGGGAGAGTGCAGCTCTGCCACCCACCAGCTGTGGGAGCTGAAGCAGGTCCTGCCGGTGACTTAGCACACTCCTTCCTGAAATGAGAATGCTGGGGTTTTGCAGGGCTGCTGTGAGGTTAGACACCAGAGAGCTCTTGAAATGTTTGTTTGTGCCCTCAGGCCTTTCCCAAGAAGCACTCCTTCGTCCCTAAGGGATTATCATGAGGAAGCTGCCGCCCGGGTTCCCCAGATTCCCTCTCCTCTATCCTAGAGAAAGGGCCCAGGTGACTGTCCACTACCACCTGAACACCCACAGCCATCGTGGACCCAACCAGGTAAGACTTTGGAATCTGCTTGTCTTCATTTTCCAGGTGGGTGGGAACTGGACAAACCACCAATTAACAGCTGTCTTGGGGGAAGACCTCCCAGGTAACAACACTGCTCTGAGAAGGAATGCTGCTGTCCCAATTTACAGGGGAGACAATGGAGAGTGAGAAATGTTGAGACTCTGCAAAAGCTATTCAACTGGTAATGAAAAAAGAGGATTCTTCTGCCGACATCTGAAATCCATGTTCTTTGTCCTACTTCCTCTGCTTTGGGAAAGTTTAAGAGTCTAGATGAAAGTGCATAGAAGCCCTTATGTGAATCCTGACTCTCAAGCACCTCTTTTAAAGGGGAGGCTGGCTCAGTCTTCCCACTGCACATAACCCAGGGAGGTGGAGGCTAGGAAGGACGCAGAGGAGCATTGCTCTGCCTCAGGATCCCCATTGTTGCTCTTGTGTCTCACTTTTCCACACCAGGTAGAAACTTGTGACTTACCCACAGTTTCCGACTCTGTCATCCTCTGTCACCCATGGCATCTGAACTTTATGTAAAACATTTTATCTCTTTCCAGACACCAGGATCTGCCTCACAGGTGCCTCCTGCCAGTCTTGTTCTCTTCTGGGGGTGACCTCCCATGAGTCCTGAACTCCCACTCCTGCGATCCCAGATTTTGGTGACCTCCACTCCCCCATGACTGGCCCTCATCTTCCCATGTCCCAGAACTTCTTCACATCAGAAGCCATCTCCTCCAGCTGCCACTCTCCAGCCAGCACCATGGAGGCCCCGTGAGCAATTGTTTCTCATTTCATCATGACCCTTTGGTCGCTCCGTTTCTCCCCTATCTATCAACTTGCATCCTAGCTTCATTTCTATTCCAATCAATCTAGAAACTGCCTTAAATATTTTTTTAGAACAAAATGGATTTATAAATACTCTTAAATAGAATTCAAAAGTAAAGTACAATAAGCTGCACACCACATGGAGCCCTCTGGTCCACCACTCTCTTGTAAACACTGTTGACTCTTGCTTTCACCTTGCAACATTCCAGCCCTGAGCGTAACATGATCAAGGATGGGCCACACTCCCACCAAGGCAGAGGCAATGGCGGTTTCATGGCCTGCATGTCCCTTGAGACTTTCAGAATAACCTTTAAGGGACCCTTCTGTGAGTCCTGATAAGGTCTTCCTGAAAAAACAAAACAAAACAAAAAAATGAAAAGCAAAAAACTCTGTTTCAATTCAGAGTTCCCTCCCCCACCTCCCCACTCACTCTACAGAACACCTAGATAAAAGAAAACCACACTCAGCTTCCAGCTTTATCCACTCCTGGCCTTCCCCTCCCTGTGAACACTTAAGGGAATGCCCAGGAGAAGGGACCCCTCTGACAGCCTACACTCATCCTTCCAGCCCTGCCTTCTCTAGCCTTCTTCATCAGGGCCTTGATATATTAATTAATACAGTGGTTAAAATAAATCCACAGATCTTTTGACACTCCTCCCTTCAAAAGATGGAGACTTGTTTTCCCGTGTTGAGTGTGGACTTAGTGATTTGCTTCTAATAAATATAATAAGTTGGAAGTGATGAAGTATAGCTTCTAAGACTAGTGTATAAAAGGCTTCATGGCTTCCTCCCTGCTCTCTCTAAGATCACTTGGCTTGGGGAACCTTGGTGCCTTGTCATGATGACACTTAAGCAGCCTTAGCAGGGGCCCATGTGGTAAGGAACCGAGGTCTCCAGTCAACAGCTAGTGACCTTGGAAGCAGATCTTCCAGCCCTGGTCAAGGCTTCAGATGACCACAGCTCCAGCCAACATCCTGACTACAATCTTATAGGCTGAATTTTATCCCCCCAAATTCATACGTTAAAGTCCTAACCTTCCACTACCTCAGAATGGGACTGTGTTTGGAGATAAGGCCTTTAAAGAGGCAATGAAGCTAAAATGAGGTTGTTAGGGTGGGCCCTAATCCAACCTGCCTGGTGTCCTTGTAAGAAAAGGAAGAGATACCAGAGGTGTACGTGCATAGAGGAATGACCATATGAGGACAAAGCAGCAAGAGGGTTGCTGTCTGAAAGGCAAGAAAAGAGGCCTCAGAGAAAAACAACCCTGCCAACACCTTGGTCTAGGACTTCCAGCTCCAGCACTGTGAGAACATAAATTTCTGTTTAAGCTGCCTAGTCTGTGGCATTTTGTTATGGCAGGCCTAGCAAACTAATACCAACCTCATGAGAGTCCCTGGCCCAGAAGTGCCTAACTAAGCTACTCTTGGATTTATAACCCTCAGAAACTGTGAGAAATGTTTGTCATTTAAACTGCAAAATTTTGGAGTAATTTGTTTTGCAGCAATAGACAACTAATACAATTACTCATCCCTCTCTCATCTTCACCCATTCTTACTCTTCTGGCTTTTCCTCTCTTCATAGAGATAAACTCAGGTCTTGTCTGTCTTGAAGTGAATTTTCTTGGCCTCATGACACCTTCCAGCTACTCCTCTCCTCTTGCTTTGCTTCACAGCTGAGCCGTTTGATGAAGTTGCCCCATCACACTGCTTCCAGTTTCACCTTTCATACCCACAAACACTGAACTGACTCCTCCAGGGCCAATGTTGTCCAAGACCTACATTTTCAATCTTTCTTTCTCTCTCAATTCTGAGATTCTCAGCCATGCTCCTTTTCCTACATGCACTCCCTTGGCTTCTGCAGAGCTTCACCTCCCTGTCTTCTCTTTGCCTCTTGGGGTAACTTCAATTTCCTCCTAGGGCCTTTTCCCTCACCTTGACCTCTTGGTGTCTGAGGGAGATGTTAACTGATTTTTCTCTGTCTGGTGTGCCTTCCTCTGTTTCCCTTTGGGGAAATTTTCCTTCCCTTCTCTACATCGTGTTTCTGATGGGAACCGTGAATCATGGTACCCCAGAGGGCATAAGACCCAAGCAAGGGCCAATTACAGGCTATTCCTGGGATGTTCTGAATTGGAGCTGGGGGTTGGTTTTCTTCTCTAGTCTTAAAATTATAAAATGTGATTCCAAAATGACCAGGGGTTTTGGTCCTAGTTTTCTGAAAATAGCTGGTTTGAGAAGATAAAATGGGCAAGAAGGGAGGGAGGGAGACAAAGATAAAAATCTTATCTCCATCTTTTTCATTTTGATTACTCGAGCTAAGCCATTTGGATTTTGTCATTTAAACCAAGGTATTCTCACTGATCTGGTGGCCCTTATTCTATTCTCTTTTAGCCTACACATTCCCGTTGTACATTCCCACCTGCTCCCAAAGTCAGAGTCAAAGCACTGCTGAGTTCCAAATCAACCCTCGTCTTTATTCTGAGCTCCTGACCCACCAAGGCCCTATTCCTCTGGATATCTCCAACAGATGTGTTATAGGTACATCAAACTCAAC